CATATACTATCTATTGTTGCCTCTGCCTTAAAATCCCAAATCACTTAGTATTTTGTTAAGTCTTGTGTAGACTTTTGGATAGAACCTGTCAAGTTATAGTCGTCATACTATATAGGAGCAGCTTCTGATATCACTGTAGTTAGAGGAAAAACTACAGATTAACAGTACCTTTGCACAAATTCAAACATCTAAACACAAGTTCTAAGTGTTTCAAGTACAAATAACAAATAATATCAACAATATCATTAGTTGTTTCTGCACAATTCCTATTATCTCAAGCATAATATCATTTAATATTATTCGAATCTTTACTATTCCAAATACAATAATATCTAATGTTGTTTAAACTCTTATTATTCTAAGTATAGTATCAAGTAATATTGCTCAAATTCCTACTATTCTCACTAAATAAAAAGATATATAAAGGGCACTTTTTCTTCTTGCTTGCCAATTTTAAGTTTCTATACTTTAACCTAGATATAATGATCTTTTAATTATAAAGTATGATATTTCTCTTTTAAAGTAATTCCTACAGGTAAGGTTGTTACTATGTGTGTTTGTCTAATAAAGTTAATCTATATACTGTTATTATCTCAAACTGTTTGCCTGTTGTTATGTAGTAAAGTAAACTACTACACTTCTATTTTGTATATATTTACAATAGTTAATCACTATATCAAGTGACCTTGTTACTTGGTTGTATTGTATCAAAAAGGCTGCAACCCTGTAACAATAGTTTATACTACTTTAAACTTATAATTACAACTTAGTTATTTCAGTTCACTTAACATGTCTACTCTTATTACTGTAATATCTGATACTTTAGATCTTAATTACTTTTTTAAAAACTATATTGGCTCTTATAGTATTGTATTAATGAAAAAACTCAGAAAATATTAAAACCATTTCTAACAAATACAAGTTAGAAGTGTAATAACTTAGTAAAGTGAATAAGTTGTCAACTTCCAAGTAGTAGGTTGTGAGTTTAAAACTTACTAATAGTAAAAATTTGAATAATCATTTATGTAATATATAGATATTATTATAATGACAATATTCTGTTAATTAGTTAGAATAAGATATCTGTAACTATAGTTACATCAGCATAACTGGCAAGTCACAGAGTATCTGTGTAATCTTAGTTATACAAAGAAATGCAAACTGGTACCAGATGGTACAAACCTAAAATAAGTTCTTGTAGCTATATAAATCTGTAAAACTGAAAAAAAAACATAAGTTTACTTAGAAATACTAAGTAGAAAGATAGCATAAATCTTTGACAATACTACTATAAAAACTAGACTTAGAAAATAAATACCAATATGAAGAAATTGAATAGACAAAAATCTTGAATAAAAGGTATTACCAACTAGGCCAGATTTTGAACTAAAGAAAAAAAATATCAACTCAGTCTTGATATACCAAAAACAGGTTATAGTTCTTTTAGACTATCTGAATTGAGAGTCTAAGGACAAAAACAAGAATATACTAAAAGTACTAAGGATATGCTATAAATTCAATACTAGGGTCTAGGTAAACTTTGCAAGAATAGCTTTTATTAATGGTCCATAGAGTAAGTAGATAGTTAACAAGAAGGGCTTTCTATATCTTACTGGCAAGTGTTATACTCTGAAATGTATAACAGTCTAGGAACTAGTACAAAAAAAGTAGATACTATACTGCTTAGACAGTATACTAATTAGGTATATATAGAAGATATAGTAGTATTATATAATAATAAAACAAATGATTAGAGAGTTTAAATAAATAATTTTCTAGTAGATTATAGATACAGCATCTAGTATAGAATCTTAAAATAAACTACTTAAATAGATAACCAAAAGTTGTATATATAATTAGTTATACTCTCATCTTTGTATAAAATGATTATAATAACTAATTCTAATAAAAAGTTAAAGTTTTTCATAAAGTATTGCCTTTAATACCAAAAAAAACAAAAAAAAAAACAAATACAAGTTAACTAAATGTGTTACTATGAAATTGAGAACTTATCTAGTTACATATTTTTTCTTGGTTCCTTTAACAACTATAACTATTAAGTGTATGTATAAATTATTCTATACTTAATTTATCTTAGCAAATAACAAAACATATAAAATTATTAATACAATTGAACTAACAACAACCAACTTACAAACCAAAAAACTTTAATAAGCACTTCACAAATCTATATTAAATATTTCATCATCTTCTTTATCAACTACTTATACACATACTTGCCCAAGTGCCAAATTCTAATCAACTGCAAAGGCATTAACAATAATTATAAATTGCAAAATGAAACTATGTTTTACAAAAATGAAGCATATCACAATAACTATTTTGTTAAAATCTATAAACAAATTAAATTAACTAATTAATTTAAACTTCAACCTATTATCAATTCTGAACAAGGCTTTTCTTTACAATACAAGCTTCTAGTTTAACAACTTACTCAACCCTTGAATAATTATTACTTAAATAATTTTCTTATTTATAAGTTTATATTTATTTTAATATCTTTGCAAAAACAACTAATACCAATAATAATATAGATTTTGACAACTTTAATTTATTAAACAACAGCAATTTTAGTACACCAACCAATAATTTATAACAACAACAACCCTTATATCAAGTTTTATTATCATAACAAAAACAACAGTCCAACCAAAAATCATTTTAACAACTTTAACTATTTTAGTTTTTAGTTAAATAATAAGACCCAAGCTTAATTCTTTATATAATTTTCTAGCAAACTTTTTTGTTACTGATGAAATGCAGAATTATACAAAACTACAAACAAAGATATTCTGTAAACTTTTTAACTTTTTTAAAGAACATCTTTATAATTTTTATTTTGGCAAAACTATCAAAAAAGCATCTGAAAATTGATATGTACTTAAAGCAAGCTTTTATTTATTAATTAGACAAATGGCTAGTATTAGACTACAATTTCTTTTGAACTTAATCCAATAACATAATGCAGATAATAATATATATATATATTTTTAAAAAAACACTTAAAAAACTTATTCTCATATTTACAACAGTATTTTTTACTAACTTTAACTATTAAGAAATATTTGTTTTATTTGCTACTATTTCTTCTATTTAAACTCATAACTACTTACAATTTTGCATTAATTTTGCCTAACTTTACTTATATATCTTTGACAATTACTAAGCAATCAACTATACTAAATTCACAGAAAACATTAAACTTAGATCCAAAAGGTTTAACATTACATTTGAAGTTATTAAAGTTAATAAACAATATTAATTTCTTTTTATTAAAATAAACAACTAATTTACTATCAAACTTAACTTTAACCTTTTTAAAATACTATTTCTTAAAAAATATAACATATCATCTTTAGATGTGACAACTTAGTGAAGTGAATAAGTTGTTATCCTTCCAAGTGGTAGGTTGTAAGTTCAAAACCCACTAACAGCAAAATTTGAATAATCATCTATGTAATATATAAACAGTATTATAACAACAGCATTCTGTTAATTAGTTGGTATAGGATACCTGTAACTATAATTGCATTAGCATAACTGGCAAGTCTGGGGCATCTGTGTAATCTGTTATACAGAGAAATACAAACTAGTACCAAATGGTACAAATTTAAAATAAGTTTTTAGGCTATGTAAATCCATAGAACTAAGAAGCCAAAGCTTATTTGGAAATTTTGAGCAAAAAAATAATACAGATTTCAATAATACTATTATAAAGGCTAGACTTAAGAAATAGATACTAATGTAAAGAAATCAAGCAGACAAGAATCTCAGATGAGAGGTACTACCAACCAGGCTGCCAGATTTCAAACTAAAGAAAATGATATTAGGCTGGCCTCAATATACCAAGAACAGATCACAGTTCTTCTAGGCTATCTGGATTAGAAGTCTAAGGTCAAAATAGAGAAATACTAAAAGTATTAAAGATATGCTGTGAAATTAGTACTGGAGTCTAAGTAAGCTCTGTAAGAGTAGCCCTTATTAGTGTTCTAAAAGTGAATAGATTGTTAACAACAGTGAGCTCTCTGCACTTTACTAGCAGGTAATGCATTCTGAAATGTGTAATAGCTTAGGAACCAGTACAAAAAGGTAGGTATCATACTGTTTAGACAGTATACTAATTAGATATATATAAAGCTTACTTGGAGTTACATCATGACAGAGCAGATGATTAGAGGTTTAAATAAATAATCTTCTAATAGGTTATAGTAGTATAGAACCTTAAAGTGAACTACTTAAATAAACAACTAAAAGTTGCATATATGACTAGTTGTACTCTCATTTCTGTAAAAATAGTTGTAATAACTAACCCAATAAAATTAATAAAGTATTACTACAAAGTATGGCCTTTAACAAAAAAAAAATATATATATATATAGAATTATATAAATTGATGCATATATGTAATAATACATCTTTGGAGTTTAAATATGAAAATCAAATAAAATAATAAATTTTAGGTTTGTTTTAACTGATGCAGAAGGTAATCAATAATATAAAATAACAAATAAATAGAGGTTTGAGAGATATGAATAAACTTCTTTTGTTTGACCAAATAATTACTCAATAACAAAGCTAACTGATTTGTATTATAAACATGAACAACAGTTGTTTTAATCAAATAAATACTTGATAATAAATTAACCAATTGTTAAGTGAACATGAAACAGTAGTATAAGTTGATAATTAGAAAGTATGTCTGAAGTTTTCAATGATGAAAAAAGAAAAAAGCAGAAATGATCTTACTTTTCAGTAAACATTGTATGTGATGTTATCTAATCTATGACAACAGCTTCATTTACTATGTGTTTGTATTTTTTCTTTGATCACTTTATTTGATTATTCTATTTGTTTTATTTGTTTGCTTGTTTTGTGCATTTATTGGTTATCTACTGTATATTAAGTTTTTTTTAATTTATTTGTTATAGCAATATGTTTGAAAAAAAAGAGCCTTTTAAGGATTATGACACAACTGAAAATTACAACATAACTGAAGATATTGAATATGAAGACCTCAGATATAGTAATATTGTTAAAGAAAATGAGTTAGATAAGAGAAGGTTCTTTGGAGTCAATAATATAACAGAAAGAATTGGACTTGAAGATAAGAGTTTCTTTAATGGTGGCAGCATAAATAAAGATAATGAATCTGACCTTTTTTTTTTAATAAAACTATAAATTATGACTTGTTTAGTAGCAAAACTTTTTCAATATAGGATGAATGTAATTTATATCTTAATAATTGGTTAAAGAGAAAAGGCTTTTACCTAAAGAAGGATCATATTCAGCATAAAAATGGAATTATCTGATGGTGTATATATCTTTGTGACCATAGTGGTTCTTACAGTTCAAAATCAAAAAAGGATACAAGTACGAAAAAAACCAAATGTGAATTTTTCATTAATGTCTTATGTCTTAAATTAAAGAATCCTAATTTTGAGATTCAAGTTAACAAAATTGTTAATAAACACAACCATCTTTTAAGTGTTGACATAATAAATTTTGAGAAAAAAAAAATTTTCTTCTGAAATGATAAATAATATAAGGTTTTTGACTACTCATTGTAAATTTGGAGCAACAGTTTAAAAAAAGTTTTTAGAAAGAAAGTATTCTTTATATCCAATATATTCTAAAGATTTGTATGCAGTGATTTAAAATTTTTGACCTATTTCTGAAATGCTATCAAATAATGCTGCTTTAATGTCTAATTGGCTAGATAACAAAAAAAAGAAAGACTTTTGATGGATTATTGCAAAAGGTTAAGATGATGACAATGCACTTATTAAATTATTGTAAATAACTTCTGAGCAAGTTAATAACTAAATATGATTTTCAGATTGTGTTCTAAATAATGTAATACACAAAAAAACCATTATGGAATAGTGTTATCATCATTTGTAGGATTTAGTAACTATTATCACAATATTGTTCTTGCTTAGGCTTTGCTTTTCGATAAAAGTTTAAAGTTATATGTTTGGATGTTTAATGAAATTCTAAAGGCAACTAATAGGCAGCCTGCAGTAATAATAACTGATGCTGATCTTGCAGTTAACTTAGCAGCAGTTTATAAAGTTTTTTCTCAAACTTACCCAATTCACTATATCTTTCATCTAATACAAAATCTTAATAAGAACTTAAAAAAGCTTTTAGGTGATAATTATTCAAAGTTTTTTGAAGCATTTTATATATATTGAAATAGCCTTGCAACTAAGGTCTTTAAGAAATGATTTGAAAAGCTTTGTTAAGATTTTTCTAATACTAACTCTTACTTTAATGTTATATATTGAACTAAAACCTATTGGGCACATTGCTATGTAAATTTTAAATTTACTAGAGGAATAATTGCTAGCTCTCAAATAAAATCAGTTAATGCTAGTTTAAAACATCTCTTACACAATTCAAATGTCTCTTTGTATGAGTTAATAGGTAAAATTCATAAACTTTTAGACATGCAAGACAATTAAAAGAAATATAACTTTTGGAAGCTTTTAATTCCTTCTATTAAAAATAAAGAAAAGTCAAATTTTTTATTTAAGACATTAGATGAAAATTTAGAGAAATTTCTTACATCTATAATACTTCAAAGACAAAGAGATGAAATTGATCAATCAGTATATTATAATGCTGCTATACTTCGAGATGAAGACTTAAAAGTAAGTTATTATTTATATTATATTGTAGTATTATGCATAGTATATATATAGTTTAATTATAATCTATATATATCAACTATATAATTATTAATTTAGACTGATAGTAAGCTGAAAATTCAAGACACAACTAATATAAAGATCCAACAAATCACATTAAAGCAAGTTATTGTTTTAGTAGAAAGATTAGCTAATATAACAGAAATTTGGACTGTAACTGTTAGCAATGTAATAACAGTAAAGCATTATCTAGTACTTTTAAAGAATAATTTACATGTTTGCACATATCTTTTTATTATTTAGCAAGGTTTAGTTTGTAGATATTATTTTCAAGTAATGCTTGCAACAAATATAGTAAAATTTTATATTTGCCTTATTCCTTCTTGATGGTATTACAATAATCTTGATGGTTCAAAGGAACCTTTTTTTATTGTGAACAAGTTTATTAATGATAATAGAATAACATCATAGCATGAACCATCTATACCTATTATATATCTATGCATATTTCTTCAAGACAATCAAAATTTTCTTGAAAAAAGTCAAAATTTATCTTAACAAAAAATGTTCTATAGTGAGTTATATGGAATATATAAGAAAGCAATTAAAAAAGCATTACAAACAAAAGTGGAATCACAACAGCTTCTCAAGCTATTACAAAATTTTATCAAAAATGAATATGAAAAATCTGATGAAGAATCAAATGAAGAGTCTGATGAAGAACCTAAAGAAAAATCTGAGAAAGGAAGTGATAATAATAAAGAAAATCAAGAGTTTGTGCTGCAAAATCTAAAGAGAAAACATAGAAAGGTCAACCAGTAGAGACAAAACAGTTAAAGTTATCATGCAAATAGAATAGCAAGAAAAAACAACAAAGGTGCTGCAAAAAATGTAATGATGTAGGTCATTATCAGAAGAAGTGTAGTAAAGTATAAATTTACTATATAAAATGTATGTAATTCTCAATATGTAATTTCAATACAACTGATTTGAAATGCTAATATAGGTACTGTTTAAAAATATAGGTTTACAACTGTCATTGATGTAAATAAAACTAATTGTTTAATTCATATGAAAAATTAATTTATGTACTATTTTTTATATTTGTGTTAAATAGTATCATATACTTTAAAACAGAATCTTTTTATTAAATATAAGTTATAAGTTAGATTGTATGTGGATTTTTTTTGTTTGAATTAATTAATATCAAAAAGAATTAATCATCAAACAAATGCTATAAAAATAAACATATAAATCAACATGCTTATTTGCAAAGTAGTTTCTTAATTCAATATACATATTGTTTTGACTTTATTTTGAGGCATTACTAAAATATCAAGTCTTGCTTTAGAGAGACAAAGTTAGTATAGATGAATTTAATTTATTTGATATATTGGCATATATCACATAATAGTATACTCTATATATACATGCACTAAAGTGCTAGTGTGCTAAATTATATAACCTATATATATATTATCATTAAAAAATTTACTTAACTATTTTAATGAATAGTTTGAAAAAATTTTTTTTATATATAGCTAACAATTCTTTATCATTAACAAAACTAAAGTTTCAAACTATCTTAAATATGAATTTAGACAACATTTTATCACCTATCTTAAAAAACTTTTATCTACTATTATTAAGTTTAAAAAACCTATCAGCCTTAATTAAAAATGTAATAAAACCTTTAGATATACCAATTATCACATCCTTATATGCACTAACTTCAAGTGTTCTTACCTTGAGCCAATTACAAATAAAGATAAAGAAAAGAAATCTGACAATAAAAAGAAATCTAATAATATTCAATAAACAAGCTCTAAATTATAACTTATACATAATTCATCCAAACTAATTAAAAATATATTCAATACATCATACAACATCTATTTAAATAAAATTGAAGCTTAAAATAAACCTTTTTTTGATACTTTAATATTTTATATTAAAGAAAAATATAAAGTCACATTTACTAAACAAATTCCTACTACTGTTTTAAACAAACTAGCAGCAAAAGCAGAAAAGTATACCTGTTCTGCTAACTCTGTTAGAACTAATTCTAAATGTTAGACTTTTTATTTGTATTAATACTTAACCATTTATCAAAATACTGCTACAGAAAATTATAATATTAACAAAATAGACAAACAACAAGCTATTAACTTTTTTATATCCAAACTTATTAATACTAACTTTCTTGCATATATCATTATATACTTCAACTATACTTATAATAAATCTTCTAACTATTTAGCAATAACCAAATTTTATAAAGAAAAAGCTTTACTAAAAGCCAAAACAATTTTATATAAAAAATTTAACATTAAATTTAAAATACTACATCTATTGCAGAGTTACTCTTTTTAGAAAAGAAAAACAAGCTTCTTTTTAATAAATTTGTCTTCTACAAAACCTATAAATATAGCTGTCATCTTATTTATTTTTTTTCAGTATTAAAATAACCTCTTTAGTCTTTTGACTTTATTAATATTTCTGTCAGATATTATAATGGGTATACAACTAGCTATACATATAACTTTTTTATATTGCTTATTTAAGAAGTTCACTTGAAGATTCCTTACTAGTTGCTATACTTAACATCTCTGTTTAAGTGTTCTATTTAAACTCTCTGATCTAAAACCCTTGTATCAACTTTACTAGGTCAAGCTTAGATCCTTATTTTAACCTTAGGATTATTTTATTCTTAAGGTAAACCTACCAAAGATTTTGGATTCCACATATAGCTATCCTGGTTTTTTTTATATAACATGCTATAGTTACTTAATACTTGCAGTTAGGACTAACCTTAAACCATTACATTACATTATATTTATTTTTGTAAAGTTCATTCAAACTCTGTTACCTATCTTTTTAACTTTTTTTCTTTATCCTTCTATTATTCAACTTAAAATTTGACAAACTCTCTAGACTTCCAATCCAGAAGGCCTAATATAGTATACCTTTTGGTATTTTTTTTCTTTAATGATTTTAGTAGCCTGGTTGGTTATATGCTTCTTTACACATCTTTCTATCTGATTGCATCTGCCTATTTCTATTGGAGTTTTCTGGACTTCCATCAGTTTGACAGCACTTTTAAAGGTTTGTACTATCTCTTTCTTAGAATTTTTAAATAGGATTCTGTCTTTTTGGTTTCTTGGTCTTCTACATCTGATAATTTTATTATAAGTTTGAACTGAAGTCTCATGCAATCTAGTTTTAATATTCCTCTATATATGTATAATGTTACACTTTATATAGATGCCCCAGGCTTTCAATGATAAGTAGAACCTGATTGGTTATACCCAAGATTACAAATATCTAAATTCAACTAATTGACAGAGATAGTTTTGTTATAATACAAGTTAATTTCCAAATTTCATTATAGGTGGAATTTGAACCTTAGATCTGCTATTTTGAGAATAACAACCCAATCACAACACTAGAATTACCATCCTTTGTAGTTGCCATCTTATTAAATAACATATCTACAGTAATTAATAAAAAAATAATATAAGTAAACAAACAGTAAAGTCTATTTATATAAAAAATCAGAATTATGATAGTCTGACCCAATATACAAAGCAGGCTATAATAACTTGAACAGCTGTAAAAGCCAAATATACAGTAATTAACTTTATAAAAAATAAACTTAGAAGATCATTTTCAATATCTTTAAGCTCCTATAATCTTCATATATGTTTTAACAAATTCATTCTTTATTACAACTTATCACTTTTTCTATATAGCCATAATAACACTATTTCTAGCATTATCTTTTTTGTTAGCAACACCTATTATAAAACTCATATATATCTTCCAAATAACTCTTTTCTATTCAATTATACTGTTATTTATTCTTATCTTCTTCCTATTTTTATAACCTTCTTTTTAGATTAAATCTCTCTAATCCTACTCCTATTTTATTTAACTTATTTTTAATAATTATTCAATACTACAAGTATCTACTTTAACATAATCTTTACTTAACCTTCATCTAAATATTTGTATACACAATGTTAGAGATTTTAATACAGTAACTAAAAAAAAAGCTTGGCAGAATTATTGTCTTTATAATAATATTTATATTGTCTATATTACTGAAACCAAAATTATTAACAGTACTAATCTTTAATTTTATAACAGCAACCTATTTATCTATTTTTGGGCTAACTTTAAAAGCTTAGCAGAAGGTGCTACTATTAAATCCACAAATATTTACAATTTTATATATACAATTGCCAAATACATCTTAATAGAGCAATTGCTTTGAATCTCTTTTTCAAAAGTAAAATCAAACTTTGAATTATAGCTGTTTATCTTTTTTTTACTAATATGCAAAAATATAACAAAATACAAAATACTGTTATTACATAAATCCAACAAGCTTTTTATCAAAATTTTATCTGATAATACTTGAAGACTTTAATATGCATAATAACATCTGTAGCTTATTATCTAAATTTTGACTTATTAATTATCTACACTATTCTAACATGTTTAATCTTGATGCATATATTAATAACAAGAATTTTATATAATCAAACAATACTAGTCATAGCTATATTAACTATATCTGAACTAATTTATTTAATATTTAATTCTTTCTTTTATACAAACTTGATAATAGCAATATCTCAATATTTAGTAATTACTTTATTCTTACATTTATTTGAACTTTTATAATATATATAGCAAACCTTTATATCATTATACTGGCATTAGTTACAAAATCTTTAACTATAAAGATATGTTAACTGACAAATAAGCAGAATTCTCAGATTTTCTTTTTTACAATCTTAAGCTATATAATACACTACTCAATAATAATATTAATAAAAATATTGAAATTATCTTACATAAGATTAAACATTAAATAATTAATATTGCAATATATTCTATTTTTAATAAATAAATCTGTAATCATAACTACAATTATTAATACTTCTTTTTTTTTAAAAAAAAATATTAAAGTAAATACTTGTAATCTAGAATTTTATTAATAGTATATTTGGCTAATAGTTGCATTACAACTACAGAAGGCAATTATGAAAAAAGTATACAACTAGCCACTCATATAACTTTATTCATTGTCTAATTTAAGTAGTCTATCCAAAGGTTCTATACTAGTTGCCATATCTGGAACCTGCCTGTAGGTTCTCTATTTAACCATTTTAGTTTTTGTATCCACCTATCTACCTTTGCCTACTAATGACTCTGGCTAATGTTAGTGAAATATACTATAGCCACTAAGTCTTTAAAGCAGTTCACTTATATAGGGTACCTTTGATCTTATACTAAACCTTTTAGAATCTTTTGTATCTTATTCTTACAACTGACCTAATATTACTATAGCCAAGACTAATACTGGCAGTCAGAGCATACTATTAAACTACTATGCTCTTGTAGAGTTCACTTCAACTCTAGTACTAACTTCACAATATATCCTTACTACTTTGGTATTCAATTCAAGTTCTACCAAGCTCCCAAATTACAGAAGACAGTTAACCATAATACAGAAAGAATTGCAAATTTTTATTGTTACTAGGATTTGAACTTTAGATCTGCCACTTGGGAGTTGACAACCTATTTACTTCACTAGGTCACCACACCCCATTAATACTTTTTTACTCTATCTTACTCTATATATCACTTAAAGAGCTTAAACACTTAATAAAGATTGTTTAACAAACTTACAACAATCTTAATATCAATATAATAAACTTTACAATTCAGAACATTAATAACAGATCTTACTGTAATTTTTAAGCTCTTAACTTAGATAACCATTTTCAAACTTATACATGGATTCAATATGCACAAGATATTTAGAAACAACTATATTAAACTCATTATACTAAAAACTTATTATTACTCTATCAACAAATTCAACAAGCTAC